GAGGCTGCTGATGTTGCGTCTCGATGGTATGCTAGGCTCTTGGAGTCGGACGAACTCGCGATGAAGGGGAGATACGATGGGGAAGGATGCTGTTGCATGCGGAAAGATGCCGTGCCGATACGCTGTCTGTTACATGACCATTACATAAGAGTAAGTGTCATCGTGGAATTGAAGGACGTGCGATGAAAGTCTGTGAGAGAGATCAATCAGGCTCCGAGTGAGCCACAACCCGTGCCGCAGCGGTGCATCCACTGACTTCGGGAACTACCTATTTATTGTCATTGGCAGTCCTATGTACCATATCGGTTGGTTCGACTTGATCGAAGAAGCTGTAAGCGCTCGGGAAGTTGCTAAAGTCGTAAGAAATGTACATGTATGTGCTATGAGGTTGTTTAGTGATACTGCTACTGCCAGTACTGAGCTCCGAGCTCATCACCAAGCTTCACATCATCGCCGTCAACGATAATCTTCTTGACCACAACCCCTACCACGTCCCATTTGCTGTTCGTCTCAACAGGCAAACCAGAGTCCCTGCGCTTACCAGTAGCATCTTCATTGCCAACCTCGCGCACGACTTCCCAATTGTTATTGCCAATGTCAACAAGCCTGGCGCGCTTGTAGCTCGCGTTGGAGACCTGGCGATGGGCGACGACGAAGCCGGCCTCGTCTTGTTCCTTGATCCACTTCCTGGCGTCCTCATCTTGCCAGACTTTCTGGAGTGCGGCATCGGCATCCTTGAGTAGTCTCACACTCTGCTCGTCCGCCTCGATTGTGCCAGCCTCTGTGCCCTTGTCAAGCGGCTTCTGTAGTAGGTGCGTGCCGCCGAAGCTCTCGACGAAGTTTCCGTTCTCAGCGTTGAAGAAGATGACGTCTTTGTACCTGAGAAAGTCAGTATATAGTACATGGATTAGCTGTATAGTCTTTCGCGTACCATCGCGTGCCAATGTCATCGTAGTCGCGGTCTTCGAGGGCTTTGGATGTGTATTTTGACGTCTTTGAGACGAGCTGGCCGCAGAGAACCTTGTCGGCAGGGAGAGGCTGGGGTAGAATGGCGAGCTCGGGGATGATAGAAGGAGACAGTGGGCCGTCAAGGTAGCTGGGTCGGCGAGAGTACTTTGCTGCCATGATGAGGAGCTGTAGCTGAAGCTGTAGTAGTAATCTGAAAGTAAGTAGAGTGCAATTGAGCAGTATGATTAGCTGTAGAGTGTCTTCGAAGCAAGCTGTGTAGCTGTACCCAGATGCGGAGATGCCCTCGTGAGGGGTCAGCAAGCTTTATGTGATCTCATTGTACCACCGCTCTGGTTGGCAGGAAACCCCGCTCGCCATGACCACGATCTTCTCAGGTCACGCTCATGCTACGCTACCAATTTCTGGTACCTTCGAAATCATCCCAGTGATGATGCGACGCGTACCTGCAGCGGCAGAGTGGTGTGATGGATCAGGTGGCCATGATGAGGTCGGAGGCATGGCGTGTTGTTGTACCTGACTACTCGCGTCAAAGTGGACCCGGAAGGACGCGGCCGACCATCCCGGGCTATCTTCGTCGCACACGCACGCAGCGACTTGTCAAGCATCACCATCATCAACAGAAGATGCATTGAACCAGACAATCGATGAGAAGAGAGTTTTCCTTTCTTGAGCGGAGCTAGTATTCTTTTTTTTTTCATCGTTATTTACAGCTTTTGGCGACCCCTATGGTGATCAGCCGCGCATCTCCCCAACCATAGTAGGGACTCACGGCTTCATCGCCATAGCCTTCACGAATGCCTCCATCATCGGAGGACCCTTTGCGCTGATCCCCTGCTCAATGTCGAGATCAGGATCGGCTTTACCCATCGCGCGTCTGTAAGCTTCGCGCTCACCAATGCGACCCAGCCATGCCAAAATGCCCGGGTAGTCGGTCAAGTCCATTGGCTCGAACTTGCGCATCGTTGTGAAGCACCACCCCGTCATGGTCTCGGCAGCGGTGAACTCCTCGCCTGCAAGCCATTTGTTGTTTTGAAGACGGTTTTCGATATGGCTCAGCATCTTATCACAACGTGCGACTTGGCCCTTGTAACGAGGGTCGTCTTCGCCAACCATGCCGCGCGACATGCCCCTTCTGAACAGTCCAGACTGCAACGAGCCATTCGCGAAATGAAGCCAGTAGAGGTAGTCTGCGAAGTTCTTGTCTTGCGGCTTTAGGGCCAACCGTCCGTTACCATACTTGTGGATGATGTAATCGGTGATGGCGCCAGATTCGGCAATCTTAACGGGGTTGGATGGATCGGTAAGGTCTTCAAGGACGGGTGAAGCACCCATAGGGTAGACCGCCTGAAGTTCAGGTGGTGACAGAAGAGGCGAGCGTTTGTACAGCTTCAACTCGTAAGGAATGTTGAGCTCCTCAAGGAGCCATGGGATGCGCTCCCCTTGGCCGATTTGGAGGTGGTGGACGATGAGCTTCGGTGATGACATTTTGTGTTGGAAGGTGTAATGACGGCTCGTGTGAAGGAATTGGAGCTCTTCAACTGTTCTTATATTCCGAATATATTCGGTCACTCGGTGATCGACGTATCCGGCAAGGACCTAGGTAGTATGAGTAGCAAGCTCCGCTGACTCTGATTCGGCGACTTGCAGCTCAGATAGTGGAGGCTGTGGGTTGTGAACTCCATTGCGCTTCGCAAACGTCGCCATCTATGTCGGATCGGAATTTAGGCATCCGCAATTTGGGTTGTCAAAATTTACGCCCTGCATCCACCAAAGTTGTAGGTCGACGGTATGCTGACAATATCTCAGTCACGTGTTGCTCGGCCGATCTCCGGAGCACCAACGCTGATTCGCCAGGCACAGACCTGGAAGGATCCACCATACACCAAAGTGGACTCTACGGACGTATCGCGATGTCAGCACTACAATTCTAGACATGTGAGGAACCGGTCTTTGTTAACCCCGACGTTCCGTGTCCCGTTTGCTCTATGAAGTTGAACAGGCATCGGCTTTTGCGCGACGATCTCAAACATGAAGGCGCCAACAATGTGCCATAAGCAGAGATATCACGATCTGTCTGTACTATCACAACACTACCCCTTGAGGAATGAGCGCGTCATCTGGAATACTCTCCCAATCCTCGTACGCCTCCCCCAGCCGATCCCGCAGTGTCCCGTCGACCTTCTTCCGATACAGGCTGACAACACGGACAATCGCATGCTCCTTCTCATACGCCGTCTTGACATGCGATCCCTTATACCTGAAAGTTTCGAAGATGTCTTGATCCCACTCAGTCTGATCGCGACCAATTCGTGCATAGCTGCCTGTGTACCCGAGGTTGTACTCAATCGCTCCGCATAGCATGTCGATGACTGCTTCAACAAGCTCGGCGTCGGAGAGTGTTGCGAAGTTGCTTTCCAAAGCGTCGTCATCACCCATTGCCTCACAACGGCGAAGGTATTCAACGGAGAGCGACTTCCAAGCTTCGTGGTCAATGCGGTACAACGCCACGACCTGACGAACAGAGTACATGTAGTCTCCGAACGGTCCCTTGCAATCTTGACGATCAGATAGCCCGGTTAAGCAGCTCCAGAGTGGAAAGCCGTCCAGCCAGTGCAGCTCAACCAACCTCTTTACATGAACAAACTTTTTCGCATGTAGGCCATCATCAGTCTCCTCTTTCTCTTTGTCGAACTCAATGTGCAGTCTTGAAGGTGGGATTTCGACCGCGTTTTCACCCCTGGTGAATGCCTGGTAGAATCGCAGGAATGGGAAGAAGTCCAGGTTCCGGACTGTCCATTTGATCCACAGACCTTCTCTCACCGTGGAGTAGTAGAGGAACAGGGTTTCGGAGAAGATCGCACGATCGACATAGGAAAGCATCGGAAGGTCGTCGACTAGGTTGCCTCTGACATCGATCTCCAGGACACCTTTCTTCGTTGTCCTGTTGCCCGACCTGAATATGCCTTGGTCGTGGTTGTTTTGGCCATCTGTCACCCTCTTTGATGGCAAAGTATACATGTCGTGCTCCAGTTTGTACAAGTAGAAAGCTTCAAGGGCGCCAACTGTAAGTCCGTCCCTCGAACGAGTTGCGAGCTTGAGTCGTCTCTCTACAATCTTCTCGAGCGCAACTTTTCGGGCCGCATCTCGCATCCTATGTACTTGGGTGGGCTTTCGCGCGCGGATCTCCTTTACACGCTTTTGCCGTATGTTGCGATCTAAGAAGCTCTTGCTTCCCATTGATCCTCGATAAACCCGCGTCCTCTTCGTCATATCAGGGTTTCTTGTCGTCTTCTCGTTGTCCAGGCAGATGTCGTATATCATGTTGCGAAGCTCACCGGGTAGATCTAAGAACTGGAAGAACGGCTGCCTCTTCCTTCTGAGATTGTAATTCTTGACGGTCATTCCTTGCTTTTGCCGAAACTCCACCAAGACTTGGGACCACAGTATCTTCGCACTGGCTACGTCTGATCGACGCTGTTCTTGAGTTTCTGTCAATGCAGTCGCGGACCATGGTCTCTTCAATTCCTCGAGCGCAGTAGAGCAGTTTTCGACAGTTGGTGTAGACATGGTTTACGAATGGTTGGTTCGTGGTCCACTGTACGTATGATTGCAAACCTATAAATCCTCCATGCAATTTGTTTGCTACGACCCTAGAATAAATTCGCGAAGATTCGCGGAACTCATGGGCTCACTTTCAGCAAATACTTGAACATACGGGACATGACTACGGAGCGCATGTAAGAGCCGATATCCCGCTAACACCTCGCCTCATTTGTGAACTTCGATCACATTCCTATAGCCTGATCTAACATGCCGTGGACCTACCATGGGAAGACGTACAATAAGAAAGATGGATCTAGTAGAGAGAGTAATGCATCGACAGAGCCGTTTGTAAACCGCTTAGGGTGATTGTCAGCAATGCCAACAAAGAATGCACTGTTAAGGGCACTTTCAAGAGTGTAGTTCGACGCCCATCATTCTTGTATCATTCTAACACGCCGGGGAGGCGCAAACCTTCGACTGGTCTCAATCTAGGTATCCTTTTTCTTGTATGTGGGCACAAATTCGAATCCATGGTTCTTCGCAAATCGATTGACGCTGATCGCAAAGCCTATACATCCGGGGCAGATTCTTTGACTAACGTTGATGATGACTCGTTTGAGTTCTGCACAGCTCTTCTTATCAGGAAATATTGACGTATTGCTGAAGTCTTCTAGCTCGTGTTCTGACTCCGCTAGTGTGCGAGTAATGTAAAAAGCCATCAATTGTGGCTCTACATGGGTCGCGTCATTCCTGTGTCTCGGTGCACCAATTTTCTTGGAAAGACGCACAGCTTCCGTGGTCCAATGATCACTGTTGATGAAGTCGCCGAAGTCCTCTCGTGTCATGCCAGCTTTGGCAATGTACAAACGTCCACCAATTCTTATGCAACCAATAGCGGCGTAGTCGCGACTTTCACCATACTGTCCCTGTTCCCAGAACCGTTTTTTGGAAAAGGTGAACGTCCTTGACATAACGACTTCCATCACCAGGTCACTTCTATGGGACTTCTCGAAGTGTATGTTGTCGAGTATATTGGAAGTTCTCCCGTCAAGTTCCATCTCTCGCATGCTGTCCCGTTCCTCTAGATACTTGATCTTGTCTTGACACTGTCGGATCTCGGCTCTCAGTTCATTACTCCTATCGATGCGTTGTTTTCGTTGGAGTAACCCAGAAGCTGTATAACCCTCAAGTTGAGCGTGTATCTCTCCGATTTGCGCTGACAACTCCTTAAGACTTTCATGTACGCTTTCCACATCTTCTTGGGACTGGGAAGGCTGCAATCTGAGATCAAGGATGCTGTTACCACCATGCTGAGAGTCGACCCGCCGATGGTTTTTATCCTTGGAAGGCGTGAAACTGATTGGATTCGATGGTTTCTGACTCTCGGTGGATGCGGCAAAATGTATTGAAGTCGCTGCTATGCTGTTGGGTGTCTCAGCCCGTGCGCGACCAGGCGCATTCTCGGCTGAGGCCCCTACGTGAATATTCGCGAGGCCTGCGCTAAGGCCTTCAATCTCGCTCTCGGCCATTGCCACGTATGTTGGTTCGAATTGTACAAGGTATGAGGAATCTGATGTCCAGTCGGCCCTGGAGGAAAAGGGAGAAGGATAGAAAGAAGTAGCAGGCATCCTCAGCCTTGTAAGTTCCCCTCGATTGAGGCCTCCTCTTACCGACGCACCCAGCATGAGCTGACCTACGTGGCATTCAGCCTATGGCACATACCTGAGAATGCAAGTTAGAGTGACACAACATACCCTTCCCTCATTACAGTACCAACAGGTGCTTTGCGACTGGCCATCTTTGGCCAATTGGCTGTGCATGCACGTCTGCTTACACGCGTCTGCAGAGGCAGCTCAGAAACAGGTCAGCGCATTTTTAGCCAATAGATCCCTTCGCATTTTGACGGATTGTAGTCGACGGCGAAGAATGGTGAAGGCGCGAGGGGAAAGTGGACAAGGTCGACCTGGGTCCATCACTAGCGCCTAGGTGGCGATGGCCCCACCAGCACCTCCAGGGCTCGCTTCAATCGCGCATCAATCGTTGCAGGGTAACAACGACCTCTTGTATCACAAACCCCACAACATGGCGCGAGGCAAGCTCATAGTTTTCGAAGGCCTAGATCGAGCAGGCAAATCAACGCAATGTCAAATGCTCGTTGATGACCTGCAAAATGACGGGATCAAGGTGCGGCATATGCGGTTTCCTGGTACGTGCACACAGACGGGGAGCCATTCGCTGGCACGCGAATGCACGTTTGGTGGGATAGAGCTGAACGCTGATGTAGTATCTAGATAGGACGACACCGATTGGTCAGATGATCAACAGTTACTTGAGTGGTCAGAGCGAGCAAGACGACCATGTCATACATCTCTTGTTCTCTGCGAACCGGTGGGAAGCAGTGTAAGCCAAACACGTCCATCTACATACCAACCACGATGTCTTAATGTATAACCCAGACCATCTATCCAAGCCGATCTCGCAGCCGGAACAACAATCATCGTAGACCGCTACTACTACAGCGGCTGCGTATACTCCGCTGCCAAGCAAAACCCCAGCATGAGCCTCGAATGGTGCCGGAAACCTGAAGTCGGGCTTCCACGTCCTGACTTGTGTCTCTTCCTCGACATCTCCGCTGACGACGCTGCGAAACGAGGTGGCTATGGTACCGAGAAGTACGAGAAGAAGGAAATACAGGATCGTGTGCGCGAGCTGTTCGAGACGATGATGCAGAAGAAGGAGGGCGAGGACTTTGTGCGCATCGATGCGGGCGAGAGTATGACGGATGTGGCGGCGAAGATTAGACAGGAGGTTGATAGGTGTATTGAGCGGGTTGCGAAAGGCCAGTTACCACTGGGAACGGTTGAAGGGTGGTAGATTCTCTCGTCCAGGAATGAAGCAAGATCACTTGTCCTCGTCGTCGTTCACATTCTCCCCCCATGTCTCATCGAGATCTTCGTCCAGGTCGACCTCTAGTTCATAAATGTCTGGAAACTCCTCTGCATGCTCTTCGACTGTTCCATCCGACTTCTTCTTCCGCTTGGTTTTGAACATTACTTTCAGCTCTTCTTCGCCGTACATGCGTAGACTAAGCTCTTTCATCAGGTCTGACCATCTCAGAGACGTATGGCAGCTCGGACATGACCCTTGGATTGGAATGAGCGCATCTGCATTGCTTTCCTCTGCGAGGAATTTCTGTGACATACAAGCCATATGCGATACTGCGCGGCACGTTTCTACCGGACAGACCAGCGCAAGCGAGTCCTCAGCACTCATGCCTAATTTGCAAACAACACAAGTTCGTTTTTGCCCGTCTCCTAGAATGTTCTTCGACTTCTCGACATGTGCCTTGCAATCCTCGTACGCCACGGGGATGGCTCGTATTATTTCTGGAATGAAGTGCGTTCGCATCTCGCTCTGCACATCCGGTGCAAGTTTGAGCAGCTCAGCCGGCGTCACTCGGATGGTGATGTCCTTTCGCAGCTTCGTCTTCATTTTAGAGATATGCTTCTCCCATTGCGCGAATACATCCTGGGCGAAGAAGCGGATGTTCAGCGGCCATCGGCTGAAACTCCCGACACCTAACAGATGATGTAGATTCTTCAGCCGCGCTTCCAGTGACATTGGTGGTCGCGGTCTTTTGACTGGTGATGGGTTCTTTCTGCCTTTTTGAAGCTCCTCCAGCCTCGCGTCGCGCACCTCTCGCTCTATGTGTCGGGTGGCGTGCGTGTTTTGCCATGCCCATTCGAACTGCAACGCGGCGGCTCTGGAGGGGAAGCCAGTAACGATGCACGTCATCTCCCACGGCCGCTTCCCCTGCATTGATGTACGCTTCGCGCCGCCCTTGCTTGAGCCATTGTGCTGACCCAGACGACGCGCCGGATTGGGGGTGCTGCCGATGTAGAAGGCTTTTCGGTTTTTGGAGCGGAGCAGGTAACAACAGTAGAAGGCTGGGATGGGCCGGCTTTCGATTTTGACAGAGTCGGCCATGATTGAGTTCATGACAAAGATGAAGTCGCGATGTCCTTGTTGATCGCATCCAAAAGCGTGCAGCGGCCAGTTAGGGCTGACGGGATGGTGCAGATGGAGTGTGTCGTGATTGGTTGGCTGGAGTGCCTCCCGATGAGACAACCTTGCTCCCGACCTCACCTGCAGCAGTTCAGGCGTCGAGATGAATTTAACTCAGAGATGGAAAGACCGCGACAGTATGATATGAATGCGCAATGCTGCTACTGTTACGCTTGTTGTTTCGAGATGCAGTATGGTGGTGCAAACAAGTGGCGAAGATGGCCGTGCATGTGCTCACAATGGAAAGTAAGAAGAAGTAAGTCGCAATGGAGAGCATCTGAGTCAGATCAATATGTGCTTGTTCTGGGAGCCAATGTAGTTCGCTGGTCGTCATCATGGTAGAATGCGGCGCAAAAGAAAGGCCGAGGAGGTGAGGTCGGCAGCCTTGCGTGCAGTCGCCAGATCGGCACGACGTAGCTCTCATACTTCACCACACGACTGCACTCCAAGGTGGCATCTCGATGCCGCATCAATGCGATAAAATGTATTGACTTGAAATGCTCTATATTTCTCCATCGATGTGACGCACAGAGTTGAAGCGTCGTGCATAATATTAGCCGTGCCCTGCTGCACCAAGCTTTCGACGTTCTGGGTTCGGTACCAGGTTGGGCGGGCGTGATATGCATCCGCCGTTAGCGGGAATCTCGCACCCTTCAGCGGACCCATCCATCCTCTCCATATCTCCTCCACCTCGCCTCGCCAACCTCGCTGTGCACGTGCTGCCACAACCACGACGGTCGCTAACAGACAAGCCTCTAGTCGTACTGGCATTCGCCTCTGTTACGAGTGAATTGCACAGTCCAAGCGGCCGAAAGCGGTCGCCTGCCGCTGTAGAGGCCCCATGCCTACGCCTATATCTCTTCGATAGCGCCCACCACCGACCGAATCACGCCCGACGACAATCGCTATACCTTCCATACCATCTCGTATCTCGTTACGAGGCTGCAATTAAGGCTGCACGCAGCGACAGCGCTTGATGCATGAGCACGAAGACTATGGTCGATTTCATGCCCCCCGGCGGGCCCCCAACGGGCGCCACTATGACTACCTTTCGAGTTGCCACGGACAGTGGAACGCCTGACGCAGCAACTGGCGCATCAAAATCTAGAATGGGTGGTGCTGCGGTGCCTGCAACGAATGGTGCGCAGCCAAGTGCGGCCAGCACGATTCCTCTGAGCGCGCGCAAGGCAGCGCCGCTGGATCTCGCTACCGTGGAGCGCAGAGGACATGGAGCGCCAAACCACCTGCCACCCAAACAGAACCGTCTTTTTGGCCTGCGCGAATCTCCCACATATCGACCGACAGCCGAGCAGTTCAAGGACCCGGTGGCATACATCCAAAGCATTCGCGAAGAAGGGCAAAAGTACGGCATCGTCAAGATTGTCCCACCAGACAGCTGGAAGCCACCATTCGCTATCGATACTGAGCGCTTCCACTTCCGCACGCGGCGACAGGAACTCAACTCGGTCGAAGGTGGCACGCGTGCCAACTTGAACTATCTCGATCAGCTCGCCAAATTCCACAAGCAACATGGCCACAGTCTCACTCGATTTCCGAGCGTGGACAAACGCCCTTTGGATCTCTACAAGCTCAAGAAGGCCGTTGAGAAGAGAGGTGGATTCGAACGTGTTTGCAAGCAGAAGAAGTGGGCTGAAATCGGACGCGACCTTGGCTACAGCGGCAAGATAATGTCTTCACTGTCGACATCGCTTAAAAACTCGTATCAGAAATGGCTCCACCCATACGAGGAGTATCTGCGACTCGTCAAGCCTGGTGTGCAGCAGATGCTGGAGTACGAGCATGGCGGACCCTTCACGCCGTCACCAGCCCATTCGCCCATAAAGAAATCGCTGCAGGGTACGCCTGTCGCCAACGCTGCCGAGTCACCAGCTATGCGAGCCTCAGCAGCGCTGAACGCAACACTGCAGGGTGACTCTGTGCCAACTCCACCACCAGAGCTCTCACGACCTGCCATGCAGGGGGGCTTCACGCCGGTGAACTCGGGAGGCTTCACAGCGGTCAATGCGAACTCAGCACAAAAGCCGTCTACGCAACCCTCTACACCTAGTGCTTTTACTGCGGCCAACCCACCGAGCGCTTTACATCGAGATGTGCTGGAATCGCGCACGTCAACACCTTTGCGCAATGCTGGCAGTCCCATGCTCTCAGCTGACAACACCCCGGACTTTAGACCGCCTGGAGCCGGCTTGACCCCGCTAGCCAATGGGCAGCATTTCAACCAACTGAAGCGAACCTTCTCTCAGGATCCGGAGAGTAGTGCAAACGACGATGTGGATGAGGCAAACGGTCGGCGTAGCAAGCGACTCAAAAAGGATGCTCCTCCTACCGTTGCGGGTTCACACATGACTCAGCCTCGCCAATCGACCCCCAGTCGAACTTTCCCACGCGTTCGATCGGCCGACGACAGACCTGGCGACCGATGCGAGACTTGCGGTACCGACAA